GGCTAACATGTAATACAGCAATACCATTCCTGAGCATATAGCTATTCAGAGAAAAACTGGATAGTTTGAAAGGATACATGCACTTCAGTGTTCACTGCAGCACTGTTTACAACAGCCAAGACATGGAAGCAATCTAAAGGGCCATCAACACAGGAATGGATAAAAAAGATGCCGTACATATATACACCAGAATATTACTCAGCCATTAAAAAGAATGAAACAATGCCATTTGCAACAACATGGATAGAATTAGAAATTACCATACTAAGTAAGTCAGAGAAAGACAAGTATCATATGATATTGTTTATATGCGGAATCTAAAGAAATTATGCAAATGAATTTATTTACAAAACAGAAAGAGACTCAGACTCAGAGAACTTAAGAGTTACCTAAGGGGAAGGGTAGGGGAGAGGGATAGAATCAGAGTCTGGGATTTACATGTACACAGATAACCAACAAGGACCTACTGTATACTGCAGGGAACTCTGCTCAAGACTGAGACTCAAGACTCTGCTTAATAACCTAAATGGAAATGGAAAAATAATTTGAAAAAGAATAGATACATATAAATGTCAAACCAAATCACTCTGCTATACACCTGAAACTAACACAACATTGTTAATCAACTATATTCCAATATAAAGTTAAAAAAAATTTAAAGCTATCAGATGCTTATCAATACACACAAACACCCTAGTGCTATGGTAAGAACTGAGTAACACATATAAAATAATTATGTGTTTTATGTAAACAAGGAGAATAAATTTCAGCCAGCTGAAAGAGGTGAATGGGCTACAACTGTAACATTAACATCATATTCTCATTTTAACTGAGAACAGAATAAAAGTCACTTTAAAAAATACATTTCCTTTAAGCATTTTTTTTTACAATTAGAAGTTATAACAGATCAAGATTCTTCATTAAATACAAATATCTCTATTAAAACTGTTATTTTGTAACTTAATATAAATTATTTTATCATCAAAGCTATACCTAACTAAAAGGTCATTCAATAAAGGGCATTTGGGGATGGGAATGGAAAGGAATTTGAAGATAACAGATATGTGAGTAGGTAATCAAGAAAGTCTAACTGGTAAAGGGCTCAGAGAGAGGTGGAAGGATTCCAAAAGATAACTCTTTGGACCTCTTTTGTCTAAATGCTGCTGTTTCTACACTAGAGATAATTATCTCATATCTTTAACATAAAACTTGTCAAGGCTGTAGATATGATATCAGAATAATTTATGACTTTTTTAAGGTAAAGTGCCAAATATATTGCACTATTTATATATTTTCTTACCACTTAGCATGTGCTGTTTTACTAAGTTTTTTTTTAATATCATCAAGTTTAGACTGTCATACCCCTAACCTTATTTTTCCTATAAGCCCTGTGGTTTTTACAGCACAATTCTGCAGAACACAGTGTCCTTTAGGAACACATATTTCACACCATAACATAACTGACTACATCTTGAAAAAAGAGACACAAATATCCGTAATTTGTAGAGACACAGATAACTTAGTTATCTATAACTAAGCCACACAAGGGTAGAAAAGCAACTGGGGTAAGGTGATATTTAAACTTACGACCTGGTAACACCGTCAAATACAATCACATTGGGAGAATACGTTTCAACATATGAATGTGAATGTTTGTGTCCTTCTCCCAAAACCTACAGCATTCTATTCCTGGCCCTCCAAAAATAATATCCTTTCACATTCAAAATATATTCATTCCATCCCAACAGTCCTTGAAGTTTTAATAACTCATTTCCGCATCAACTCAAAGTCTGAGTTCAAAGTCTCATCTAAATATCATTTAAATCAGATGTGGATGAGACTCAAGCAAGGCTTCAGCAGTATGTGAACTGAGAACTTCTAGATGCACAAGCTGGGTTTAGAAAAGGCAGAAGAGCCAGAGATCAAATTGCCAGTATATGTTGGATCATGGAGAAAGCAAGGAAGTTCCAGAAAAATACCTACTTCTGCTTCACTGACTGTGCTAACACCTTTGATTGTGGATCACAACAAACTGTGGACAATTCTTTTTTTTTTCCATTTTGTTAAAACTTTATTATGAAAATCCACTTAAATAGGTGAACTACTTGAAGTGACTTTTCCCATTTTGGATTTGAGGAGGTCTTAAGCTTAGGACCACTTAGAATAGAATCCAAGAGGACAAGTGAGAGGGCAGAGCCCTCAAAGCATGTGGGAGGTGACACTGGGGGGGAACCTGGGGCCTGACTTGCACCCCCAAACCCGCCCTCCACCTGAGATGCACACCCCACTGTACAGGAGGTGCCTGTGAGGCCGGCCCAGCAGCCACGGCTCAGAGACCTGTGGACAATTCTTTAAGAGATGGGCATACCAGACCACCTTACTTGCCTCCCAAGAAATCTGTATGCAGGTCAAGAAGCAACAGTTACAGCCAGACATGAAACAACAGACTGCTTCAAAATCGGAAAAGGAGTACAACAGGGCTGTACACTGTCACCCTGCTTCTTTACCTTCTATGCTGAATACATCATGTGATACGCCACACTGGATGGATCACAAGCTGGAATCAAGACTGCCAGGAAGTAATACTAACAACCTCAGTATGCAGACACTACTACTCTAATGGCAGAGTGAGGAGGAGCTAATCAGCCTCTTGATGACAGTGAAAGAGGAGAATGAAAAAAGCTGGCTTAGAACTCAACATTCAAAGACCAAAGATCATGGCATCCAGTTCCATCACCTCATGGCAAATAGAAAGGAAAAAGTGAAAGCAGTGATATATTTTATTTTCTTGGGCTCCAAAATCACTGCAGATGGTGAGCCCAGCCATGAAATTAAAAGATGCTTGCTCTTTGGAAAAAAAGAGACACAAACTCTGGTGGAATAAGCATCTCCACCAAAGCATCTTCAGTGTCATAAGCTATGACAAACCTAGACATCATATTAAAAAGCAGAGACGTCCCTTTGCCAGCAAAGCTCTGTATAGTAAAAGCTATGGTTCTTCCAGCAGTCGTGTACAGATGTGAGAGTTAAGACTATAAAGAAGGCTGAGTGCCAAAGAACTGATGTTTTCGAATTGTGGTTCTGGAGGAGACTTGTGAGAGTCCCTTGGACAGCAAAGAGATCAAACCAGTCAATCCCAAAGGAAATCAATCCTGAATATTCACTGGAAGGACTGACACTGAAGCTCCAATACTCTGGCCATCTGATGAGAAGAGCCAACTCATTAGAAAAGACCCTGATGTTGAGAAAGATAGAAGTCAGGAGGAGAAGGGAACGACAGAGGTTGGATGGCATCACCGACTTAAAGGACATAAGTTTGAGCACGCTCTGCAAGATGATGAAGAATAGGGAAGACTGGCGTGCTACAGTAGTCCATGGGGTCGCAAAGAGTCAGACATGACTTAGCGACTGAACAACAAGGTACAATTCATCCTGAGGTTCTCCAGCTGTAAACCTATGAAATCAAACAAATTATGCATTTCTAAAATATAATGGTGGAAAAGGCATGGGACAGATGTTCCCATTCCAACAGGCATAGGACAGATATTTCCATTCCAAAAGAAGAAATGAGTGACAAGTCTCAAATAAATCCAAAACCTAGTAAGGCAAATTCCATTAGACCTTAAGGCTCTAACTTGATACTCTGCCTTCCAGACCCACTGAAGAAGAGAGCCCGCCTGCAGGGCATACCAGGGCAACATTCCTGCCCCTCCAGCTTTGCTGGGCAGAAGCTGGGCACCAAAGACTCCTGGCAGCCCTGCCCCATGCTTCCCTTCTTTGAAATCTAGGTGGAGTCAGACATGCCTCCAGGGCCTTTGCATTCTCCACTAGTGGAGACACTTATTCCACCAGTTTGCTATCTGCACCCCGCTGAGGGATAACTGCCACACTAGGGGCTGCCAGAACCATATCAAGGGCAGCCAAGGAGTTCAGCAACAACATTAATTTTCAAACATAAGCAGTTATGAGGACTCAAGCCACACCTTCAACCCTTCGCTTAGTAATGACTTGAAGTAAATACCCAATTTTATTGCTCATAAGTTCTACATTCTACAAAGCACTAAAACATGAACATAACTCAGCCAAGTTCTTTGATCCTTTGATCAAAGGATCCTTTGATCCTTTATAACAAGGATCACCTGTCTTTCAGTTTCCAATAACATGGTCCTTATTTCCATCTGAGATCTTAGAATGGTCTTTATGGAACACAATTCTACCAATATTCTGCAAAGGATTGCACCAGTGTTCTCTAAGAAATTTCTTTTCTTACAACTCTGCTTCTTTCTTTCCAAGTCCTCACCAGAATCTCCTTTAAAGATCTGTTTCCAACAGTGTAGACTTTTTCTAGCATGCACCTCAAAACTCTTCCATTACTCATTACCCAGTCCCAAAGCCACTTTCACAGTTTTAGGAATTTGTTACGGCCCTTCCACTTCTCAGTATCAATTGCTGTTTTAGCTCATGCAGGATCCTCTAAGAAAATTACCACAGATGAAGTGGTTTATAAAAAACAGAAACATATTTCTCACATTTCTAGAGGTTGGGAAGTACAAAATCAAGGTGCTAGCAGATGTGGTGTCTAATAAGGACCCAATTCCTGGTTCATAGATGATTCACTTTCTTATTCATCTTCTTGTTATGTCCACACATGGCATGAGGGGCCAAGGACTCTCAGTGATCTCTTTAATAGAGGTACTAGTCCCCCTGATGAGGGGTCCACTTTCATGACTGATTCATCTGGAAAGCCCACTTCCAAAGTCATCACACTGGAGGAGTAGGTCACAACACGAATTTGGGGGGGAACACACTCATTCTATACCACTAGCTCAACACAGAATTTACCTTATATTCTACTTTAGTAATTTTCTCATTTTATATGCATATGAAACACTTGTCAGTCATAGAAGCATAAAAAATATATTACACAGGTACATTGTGTTAGAGTATAATAAACCAAGCATATATTAATAAGAAGAAAAACACTGTTTTTTAATACTTACCACAAGCTTTAGAAGCAGCAACACAAATTTCTTCAGCAACATACTCTCCAGTTGGAAACTTCAGATAATCCCCCTCAGCTTTCCCAAGGGAATGATAAAGATAGACCTGTAGGACTGGATCTACTTGCTTCACAGAACTAGCATTTCCAGAAATATCACCATTCTGATGTACAGGGGATGTGGATGTTTCTTCCATTTCTGTCATTGTAAGGCAAGCCATTCCCATGCACAGTTGTTTTCAGAACATTTGCCTGTAAGAGAAACCAAAGTTACTAATCAAAGTGATACTGATAAGTTATCCTTATATATAAAAAGTCTTTACTAATAGCATTGACTTTATCAAATCCACTAATTGAGTAAGTATCATGCACATGCATTTCTCAGAGATACTGAAGGTTTTGTTCTAGATCAGTGCAATAAAATAAGTCACCAATTTTTTAGTTTCCCAGTACATATACAAGTTATATTTACACTATACTGTACTCTATGAAGTGTACAATAGCATTATATCTTTAAAAAAATCCACTGTACATACCTTAACTGAAAATGCATTATTATTGTTAACCATCACATGAAACTTCAGCAATTTGTAATCTTTCTACAATAGTAACTCTCAAAAGGATATAAGATAAATACTGAAGGAAAAAAAAAAACCTGGCAAACTGAATTCAGTAATTTTTAAAAGAATAATAAATCTTGACTGAGTTTAGGAATTCCCTGGTGGTCCAGTGGTTAGGGCTTGGCATTTGCTGTCAGTCCTGTAGCCCAGGTTTGATTCCTGGTCAGGGAACTAAGATCACAAGCTATGTGGTTCAGCCAAAAAAAAAATCTTGACTGAATTATTTATACCAGAAATGCAAGGTTAACTGAACAATCAAAATTCAATCAATAAAATTTACTACATTATTAGAATAAATGAGAAAAGTAACATATGATCATTTCACTAAATGCCAAAACTGAATTAAAATTCTACAACAGTTTGTGATAAAAACTCAGCAAACTAGGTTTAAAAACAAACGTGTGATTAAGAGTAACTACAAAAGACCTAAAATTAATAACTTAATGGCAAAATATCAAACTTCTTTTTCCTGAATTCAAAAACTTAATATGCATGTCTAAAATCATGTCTTCTAATCAATATTGTAGTGCAGGTCCTGGACAGTGCAATATGGCAAAAAAAAGAAAAGAAATAAAAGGTAAAATGGAAAAGGTAAAACTATCATTATTCACACAAGATATGACTGCATACATAGAAAATTTAAAAGAATCTAAAAATTATTAAAGTGAGCTTATAAGATCACAAGATACAAAACCAATATGTAAAAATCTACTGCAATTCCCATATGCCAGAACCAATTAAAAAATTAACATTCTAAATTGACATAATTTATAACAGGAATCAAAAAGTCAAATATGTAGGAACAAATTTATTGAAATATCTGTAGGAACTCTGTAACAAAAACAAATGAAAACATTGTTAGAAGAAAAAAAAAGGTCAGAAAATTTGAATAGATTATTTTTCTAAAGAAGACATACAGATTGCTAATAGAAACATGAAAAGATACTCAACATCACTAATTATTAGAGAAATACATATCAAAACAATGAAGCATCACCTCACACCTGTCAGAATCACCATCATCAAAAATTCTACTAATAATAAATGCTAGAGAAGATGGAGGAAAAAAGAACTCTACTACAATGGTGGTGGGCATATACATTGGTGCAGTCTCTATGGAAAAAAGTGTAGAGTTTCCTCAAAAAACTAAAAATAGACTAACCATATAATCCAGCAATTCCACTCCTGGGTACATATTCAGAAAAACCAACAACACTAATATGAAAAGCTACAAGCACCCCTACTGTTTTTAGTTTTTCTTCTTCTATTTGCCATGAAGTGATGGGACTAGATGCCACGACCTTAATTTTTTGAATGCTGAGTTTTAAGCCAGCTTTTTCACTCTCCTCTTTCACCCTCATCAAGAGGCTCTTTAGTTCCTAAGACATACACACTATCCTGTATAAAATAACATGGATACACTGTACAGCACAGGGAATTATAACTGTTATCTTATACCAACTTTCCATGGAGTACAATCTGTAAAAGTACTGACTCACTACGCTGTACACCTGGGACTAACATTGTTAATCAACTACATTTTATGACAAATACAAAAAATAAAAGCAAAGAACAGAACATGGTGGTAGACAATGATAGGAAAGTCAGTGTTGTCCAGATATTGATTGTTCTCCAAATTGATCTATACATTCAACACAATCCCAATTACAATTTTAGCAGCTTACTCCATGGACATTTACAAGCTAAAATCTATATGAAAAACAAAAAGGGCTTACAGTAGCCAAGATAATCTTGAAGAGCAAAATAGAGAATTTATACTACCAGACACCAAGATTTATTATAAAGTCAGAGTAATTAAGTCAGCTTGGTATTGGAATAACTACAAATAAATAGGCAAATGAAACAGAATACAAAAAAAAAAAAAAAATCCTCACATATGGTCACCTAATTAGAAAAAATGCCTCACTACATTTCAGTGGAGAAGAAATGATTATTTTTTCAATAAATGTTTCTCAGTCAATTGGCTATTCATATAGGAAGCGAAAAAAAAAAAAAAAAACAGAAAAGAACTTTGACCTCAACTTTATACCATACATAACTACTAATTTGAGATGGATAATTGACCAATATGCATAAGGAATAAACTTTTTCTGGAACCAACAAACATTTCAGAGAAATGGAGAACATCTTCATGACAATAGAAACTTATCTTTCAATAATAAAATAAGAGGGGGACAACATTTGAACACACTTTAAAAAAAATCACTGCAGACAGTGACTACAGTCATGAAATTAAAAGACACTTGCTCCTTGAAAGAAAAGCTATGACAAACCTAGACAGTGTATTAAAAAGCAGAGACATCACTTTGCCAACAAAGGTCTGTAGAGTCAAAGATACGGTTTTTCCAGTCATCATGTATGGATGGGAGAGTTGGACTATAAAGAAGGCTGACTGTCAAAGAATTGATGCTATCGAACTATGGTGCTGGAGAAGACTCTTTAGAGTCCCTTGGACTGTAAGGAGATCAAACCAGTCAATCCTAAAGGAAAACAACCCTGAATATGCTTTGGAAGAACTGAAGCTGAAGCTCCAATACTTTGGCCATGTGATGTGAAGAGTCAAATCACTGGAAAAGACCCTGATGCTGGGAAAGTCTGAGGGCAGGAGAAAAAGGGTATGACATACAATTAGATGGTTGGATGGCATCACCGACTCAATGGACATGAGTTTGAGCAAACTCCAGGAGACAGTGAAGGACAGGGAAACCTGGCATGCTGGAGTCTCAAGGAGTCGGACATGACTTAGTGACTGAACAACAACAAAAGGAGATACAAAATTGTCCAAAAGCACTTATGAATAACTACTGAATATCACTAATCACTAGGGAAATACAAATTAAAACCATAAGATACCTTAACACACCCTTTAAAATGGAAAATTTAATACCAAATGTTTAAAAAATTGTAAAGAAACTGGAACTCTCATTGCTGGTGGGAATGTTAAATTGAACAAACACTTTGCAAAAATGTTCAGCACTTTCTTACAAAGTTATACATACATTCACACCATGATCCAACAAGTCCACTCCTTGGTAATTTAGCTATAAAGTGCACGTTTTTTTTCCTTGCTACTTCCTCCTTCAGGATACCTGGAATGAAGACACAGTAGTGAAGCTATACAATGACTTTCTTGCAACCACAAGGTAACCATGAGGATGGAAATCAATGCAAAGTTTGGAAGAACAGAAAGATGGCAGGTAACTAGTTTCTTGACAACCAGGGAGTCACTAAGTCCAACAGAGAGAAACAATAAATCCAATACTATTTGCAAGGCTTCCCTGGTGGTTCAGTGGTAAGAATCCTCCTGCCAATGCAGGAAATGCAGGTTCAATCCCTGTGTCAGGAAGATCCCCTGGAGTAGGAAATGGCAACCCACTCTAGTATTATTGCCTGGGAAATTCCATGGACAGAGAAGCCTGGCAGGCTACAGTCCATGGGGTCACGAAAGAGATTATTTCTATATTCCAGTTATCTGCAGCCAAGTCAAATCAAAACTGATGTCCTTCTCCAGATTTCAACTCTTCCTACAATCTAAAACATTTTAGTAAATAAGTTAATCTTTCCTTTGAATTTCTGCCCTTCCAGGGCTCTCCTATCTTGCATTTACGATAAATGCTATTTGCATTCAAACCAAGTCAAGAAGATATGCTATCTGCAAGATTGTAAAGGATTAAGTCAAAAGGATTTCACAGAAAAGTATGCTTATTTTTTTAAAGAAATATGTTCAAAAAGGCATTCTCTCACCAGCTTCAAATCTGAGGTCTGATTTTAGCAGTTTCAAAAGAAGCAAAAGAATTTCTTCTGCTTTAACAGAAGCAAAAGAAATTGCTGAGGCACAGCATAAGAAGCCTGTTGGATCTCATGTAGTTTCTTAGCTCAAAATCACAAACTCGTAAGCAAAAAGTTACGATCAGAAAATCTGTAACACAGCAAATCCTTTCCTTTCCCTTGTGTACTTGGTCCATAAGAGCATTCTAGAAGACAAACGGTTATTTTCTCCATAATCCCTTACCCTCAACTGCTGCTGCTGCTGCTAAGTTGCTTCAGTCATATCCGACTCTGTGCGACCCCGTAGACAGCAGCCCACCAGGCTCCGCCGTCCCTGGGATTCTCCAGGCAAGAGCACTGGAGTGGGTTGCCATTTCCTTCTCCAATGCATGAAAGTGAAAAGTGAAAGTGAAGTCGCTCAGTCGTGTCCGACTCTCAGCGATCCCATGGACTGCAGCCTTCCAGGCTCCTCCGTCCATGGCATTTTCCAGGCAAGAGTACTGGAGTGGGGTGCCATTGCCTTCTCCGTACCCTCAACTACTGAACCTAAAAAATTCATTGAGAATAATTTGAGAAAAGTACAAAAGCTATTATTAAAGGTGCTGGGACTAATATCTAAATACAACTTCTCACTATTCATGCTCATACAGATTCTCATTTTGCCTCTTTAATTTAAAATGAAACTGTATAGCTAGGAGTGAATCATATGGCATTTGAATTACGTACCAATAAAAATTTTTTAAATATATGTATTTTTAGGAAAAATAGAAATGTTAAAACAATTACCCCAGATACATGTTTAGCATCAAAAC